AATTAATTTTCAATAATCAGAAAAATATTGGTATTTAAATTAATTTATTTTTATTTCAGTCTGGCAAATATGAAGAACCCCCATTTATGTCTTTAGAAAGTTTACGCTTAATTAGATGTATGTTACAAGTCGATCCAACAAAAAGAATCACAATCAAAGAACTGCTTTCGCATCCTTGGCTCACGCTTGGAGTGCTTGAGCCTGTACAGATTATGTTACAGAATTCTAAAATGTATCAACGTGAATGCATAGGGATTATGGCTACTCATTACAATGTTGAAAATAGAACAATGTGGCAACATTTAAAAAAATGGAAATATGATTACCATACTGCTACATATCTCTTATTAGTCTCCAAAAAGAAGAGAGGATCTGGCCTTAAGTTGTATAGTTTATCTGTGAAACCTTTGATTGATATTGACAAGGTGAGTTTTATATTTATCCCTATTTTAAATAAAAAATTATTGTACAATTTCTAAATGTAAATTGGGGTCTAGGAAAATTCCCCGACAACAATTCCCCGATTGGAACATTCCCCGATTGGAACATTCCCCGACAAACAATTCGCCGCCAAATATATTCTATCTACCATATCAAATGTATATTTTGGTTCTAAAAAGAACCGTTTGTTATACAAAAAAGTCGTTATCCATTAATCCTTTTTTAGTAATGAAGGTTGTGGGCTATACCACGTAAGTAAGCAGACAGGGTCCCCTCTTCATACTTACAAGAGCTGATATTCGTTCAGCACAATCACGGTACTTGTTACGTTGAGGCGGGCCTTCTAGGCCTCCTGCGTATTGTTCTATCTGAATATCATGTACGCTTTGCTCCCGCTGTAAACCTTTTATGAATTTCCATATATTGGGATGGTCTGCAGAAACTTGAGCCTCGAAAGTTCGATGCCATCCTTCAATGGAATTATTTGTTTTTGGCGGTCCTTCTATCACAGTCTGATAGCAATTCCACGTATCAAGGGGAAATTTTGGTGCGCGACGACGTTGGCCTCTTTGCAGGCGTCCAATTCAGGTGTCCTCGAAGTAGTCAACAATTGACTGGGCATCCTCGGGTTGCAAATTCTCCTCACACAGGGCTTCGAAGGCATCGATTACATTTATTGTTGGCACAAATGCCAACGCTTACAATAATTTAAGTTTTAATGCAATGCAAATTCTGCATCGGTTTTGTACTGGTTTTTTAGTCCTTCTGCTTGGATCTTTCTAAAGATGCACTGGGAGAAATGGAAAAAGCATCCACGATGTTTTGGAGCTGGAAATTCTTCGGTAAAAGCATTTATTATGCCAGTTTCGAAATCTGTGAGGATGGTACTTGGTGACACACCAGGCATAAATTCTTTTAACTTTTGCAGTAAGCGAATATATAAATTTTTTGTTTTATCTGGTAACAGCACATACCAGCACATACACCAATGGAACTGAAATATGTTTTTTTAAGCCATGTACCGTAGACAGTTGATAAAACAAGTGTGGTACTGTTTTAAATGTTCCATCAGCGTACCAATGTTTGCTTTAAGCTAAGAGTGAAATATTTTTTCTCGTACTAAAAATATACAGTGAGCACCATAAGTCTTACCCCCCCCCCTATCTAACTCGTTACTGGAGTCTTGTTAGGAAAATCGCCGAGACAGGTCGATTTTTGATTTCTACAATGTACATTTTTGTATGAATAGTTTACCCTTAATTTCATCCCTTACTGGAGGGGAGCAACCCTTTCGAAAAATTTAAATGGAATGGGGTGGTGAGTGATAGCTCATTTGAAAGAGGGTTTTATTCTCTATTCAACCGTGTAAAAAAAATTGAAATTAGCTCCATTAATTCTCGACTAATTGTTGTTTCAGAATAACGGAAATTAACGTAGGACACTCATCCTTAGAATTAAAATTCGGCCCTGCATGATTTCGGTTTTGGTTCAGACGTGAAGTAAGACTTTTTGCCATTAGAAGGTCACTGTTAGTCTAGTTGCTTTCCTATTTTGTGAGGTTTTGTTATTTTTAAACATTAATAAATCAACATGTAATGATGCAAATTTCAAAATTTTTTTACACGGTTGAATAGAGAATAAAACCCCATTTCAAATGAGCTATCACTCACCACCCCATGCCATTTAAATTTTTCGAAAGGGTTTTTACCCTCCAGTAAGGGATGAAATTAAGGGTTAAATAATCATGCAAAAATGTACATTGTAAAAATTAAAAATCGACCTGTCTCGGCGATTTTCCTAACAAGACCCCAGTAACGAGTTGGTTAGGGGGGTAAGACTTAAGATGCTCACTGTATAAATATCCATCAAACAATAACTCTTTCTTCATTTTTTCACTAAGAACAAATTCAGCAGCCATTTCACAATGTTGACAGTTACACAAGTTTTTAGAAAAAAAAAAAAAATTTAAAGAAATGTGCATCCTTTTATAACGTTTAAAATTTAAACAGTCAACAATTTTAACAACCTACATTTAGTTAAGTGTTTATAAAACACCTTGTTTATTAAAATTAAATTATTATAAACGGGTAGGGTCAATAGATTTGATCGATTATTATCCTTTTAGCAATGACCATTAATGTCCCATTCGAAGAATTTGTAAGGCACATTCAACAATTTTGCTATATTAATATCCTTTTTAACCGACTTCAAAAAAGGCGGAGGTTCTCAATTCTTCGCAATATTTTTTAATTTTTTTTATTATTTTTTTTTATGTATGTTCAGCGATAATATTTAACACGGTGCCCGATTTCAATGATTCTTTTTTGTTAGTAAGGGGGTACCTCAGAGGTGGCCCCATATAAATTTGGTTAAGATGTGGTGATGGCATCTGCATGTTTTTGAAGTAGTTTTTTTTTTAATTTTTAATTTCTAATACATTGTTAATGTCGAATAATTTTAAGTATTTATAAAAGACCTTAATGTATAAAGTACATTAATATCCTGCCTCGGATCAGCCCCTCGACTTTATTTAGGTATTTATAAAACACCTTCAATTTGCATTATAAATATAATTGCAAGATTAAATTAATTGTCTTTTTAAAAAAAAATTGCAGTTTCTAAAAATTTAATTTGTGGTATTATTTCTATATATTCAATTCTTCAATATTTGACAATCTAAAATCTTAAAATTTGATGACATTTAATACGATAGATTTTAGCATTTTCCAAGGAAATATTTTTTTGTGGTGAAATGTAATGTATTGTCGGGGAATTTTTCAGTCGGGGAATTGTTTGTCGGGGAATTTTCCCGTCCGGGAATATTTCAGTCGGGGAATTGTTGTCAGGGAATTTTCTTGACACCTGTAAATTGTTCCCACGTCTGTGTAATGATTAATGGACGGCGATTACTGAGTTAGTTTAGGTTACGCATTTGTAATATTTTTAGGAAAGTACATTTAGAAGAAAACCAATTTTAAGAAGTATTAATTCTCCAGCACTTACAGACACAATTAACAATGGAAATAATTTACATCAACATACTCCTCCTGGTGAAGTAAGCAAACTAAAAACAGAAGAAAACACACCCAATAAAACACCAAAAACCAATCAGTCAAATAAGTTTGCACATCCCTCTAAACCATCTGGTATTAGAAAACCGTATAAAAGGATAAGAAGTCCAGGGCCAGATGATACTTCACCAGGTTAGTACTAAGGGGCATTGCAATGGTCTCTATGTGATTTAATATATTTATTAACCAAAAGTAAAATAGGAGTAATGCATCTTTATTTATTGTATGACTATACATGAGTAGTTGAGTAGGTATCTCAATTCTTAATATTTAAATTTTCATTCCAATTAACACATGGAGCTATTCTTGAATTCAAAGGAACATAAAATAGATCTTTTCTCTTTATCTCCAATGTACAGGGTTTTTCATTATATTTTGACCATTACTTATTTTCATAATTCTTGTGAACTCAAAAAAAGTTTCAAGTGAAAGCTTTGTTGTTTTACCTCAACTTTTTGGGCCACAGTAAAACCCATTACAAGCAATCAATTGACAATTTTTAATAAACAAACAACTATTTCACTTGGAAACATCATTTTCATAGCTATCTATGTGTTATGCTTTCATAGTGCAATAAGTCACTATATAATTAAAATATTATATATTTGTTATCAGGAAACGCAAGTCTACTTAAAATGGCAAAAATATATAGGGTGTCCCATTAAAAAAATGAAATTATATTTTGTTGGAGTCGTCCTGTATATACAATTCAGCCTGTTATTACATTTTTAGTCGGTACAGATAGAACAACATAGCTTTTACTTAAAACTTTTTTTTGTGTTTGCAATAATAATGAAAATAAATAGCGGTCAAATTATAATGAAAAACCCTGTATATAACTCATATTTCAGACCCACTTTTCCTTCAAACTTTCTACTCTTTACTACTTCAGATTCAAGAGTCAGAAATATATACGCTGATAAGATGTCTCCCAAGAAGACTATACAGTGAGCACCATAAGTCTTACCCCCCTATCTAACTCGTTACTGGAGTCTTGTTAGGAAAATCGCCGAGACACGTCGATTTTTAATTTCTACAATGTACATTTTTGTATGAATATTTTACCCTTAATTTCATCCCTTACTGGAGGGGAGCAACCCTTTCGAAAAATTTAAATGGCATGGGGTGGTGAGTGATAGCTCATTTGAAAGAGGGTTTTATTCTCTATTCAACCGTGTAAAAAAATTTGAAATTTGCTTCATTAATTCTCGACTAATTGTTGTTTCAGAATAACGGAAATTAACGTAGCGCACTCATCCTTAGAATTAAAATTCGGCCCTGCATGATTTCGGTTTTGGTTCAGACGTGAAGTAAGACTTTTTGCCATTAGAAGGTCACTGTTAGTCTAGTTGCTTTCCTATTTTGTGAGGTTTTGTTATTTTTAAACATTAATAAATCAACACGTAATGAAGTAAATTTCAAAATTTTTTGCACGGTTAAATAGAGAATAAAACCCCCTTTCAAATGAGCTATCACTCACCACCCCATGCCATTTAAATTTTTCGAAAGGGTTGCTACCCTCCAGTAAGGGATGATATTAAGGGTACACTAATCATACAAAAATGTACATTGTAGAAATCTCGGCGATTTTCCTAACAAGACCCCAGTAACGAGTTAGGGGGGGTAAGACTTATGATGCTCACTGTATACATAATAAATAGAATATAATTTATTAAGCATTAAAAGCATTTCTTTACGTATACATACTTAAAAACTTTATCAGACTAGTCGAAAGCTTTCATACATTCAGCTTTTACATTGTACCACCGTCTACTTCCACACAAAACACATTCTTATTATCCAGTTCTCACCACTTTAAAATTATGGATTTTATACTTAATATATACAGAATTAAAATATATAAAACAATTAAAATAGGCATAGGTAAACACGTTTTATGATACCCTCATTGTACAATTTAAGAATTCTTCAATATTGTAAAATACATTACTGTGAAGAAAGTTAATAATAATTTATTTTGTATGCCGTTCCTTGGGCCAGCTAAATCAATAAAAGTTTTCATTTTATTGAAGCACTTAACCCCTATATAATTGGGAGAATTCTGAGAGTGATCTCAGTCTCGAAAAGGGTATATAAAAAATGCACTGTTAGTATCATACATTTTTTTAAATAGACTTCGGCAGCTTTCTAATGGATGAGCTCTAATCATACATCTTACAATTTTGTTCTATCTATGCGTGCGGAGGAACCCCACAACAAACCATGCTGTAACTGAGACTGTACCAGTCCAAAATGTAAGATTCGCAAGATTTGGACGGAAACTTTATCCCTAAGACTTCTCAAACTGAAGCAAGTATTACTCAGCTTTGAGCATAGCGTATTGATATGAAGTTCTCATGTTAGTTTAAGATCGAGACTTACACCTAAAAATTTCATTGATTGAGTACTTTTTATTGATTTTCCAGAGAGTTTAATTAGTAGATCTTCATCAGGTGTAATATTTTTCGGTAGAAACCTCATATATAAGGTTTTTTGGCAATTTAATTGATGACCGTTTTCCTCACAATATTTTTAAAATTCCAATGTGACGTTATTGTCATTTTCTAATAAGGTACTGACACATTTTTCATACAGTATCATATTTGCATCATCCGCATAAAAACCAGCTTTTTCGAACATTTCACAGGTGCCTGTAATGCCATCAATAGCTGTTTGACACTGATCTGCCAAATATGATAATACCCAGTCATGTGATTTTCTTCTTACTCCTATACCATAAAGTTGTTTTAATAGTAAGTTGTGGTCTATTGAATCAAACACACGGGTGAGGTCATAAAAACTATTGTTACGCTGGTTTTTGGTATCACAATTTATTTCAACTGAACTTTACAATAACTATAATTCAACTTTGACAATAACTTTACAACTGATAACATTCACGTATAACGTCTATCATAAAACTAAACTCTGACGTCAGGTCGTCGACTTATTTATGGTGCGTTTGATTTGATCATCGGAGATCTCCGAGCGCTTCAAAAGTGTTTGAATTGACCCTCCGAGAGATCCCTAAAGTGTTTGTTTCGCTTTGGAGCGAGAACATAGAGCAAGCTCGATGTTCTCAGAGCAGAAGGATCGAGAAGAGGGAGAAATTTGTCTTTATCTCTACCTATCTTTTTTTAATTAACCTACAAACAAAATTGAACCTCAAAATTAAAGACCCGACAAGAAGTCAATAAAATACTTAGCTGCTTTTGTCTTATATCTAAAATTATTCGTCATAAAAAAAACCAGAATGTCTGTTTGGAAAATACATTTTTTCTGTCCAAATTTAATCACCAGTAATCACAGTCATGGAGTATAAAAGCGAAGCGGGCATTTGTGGTATATGCTGCATTTCAGGACCATTACCCTTTACTGTTAAAAGTTTTTCTATTTTCTTTACTTTCTGCTCACTATTTTGAGAAACAAGAATCACAAAAAAGCGAGGTTATGTTTTTTACTCTGTTTTATTTGATTTGACTCAATGCTCTATTGTGACGTCATCACTTCTCGGTCTCCTCGACGCTCGCTCGATCGAGTTTCAAATCAAACGCCCCTATAGCTTTCTTGACCTTCTCGACCTGTCATCTGGAATGTTCTTGACGGGTAATGACATTTCTGGACATTTCTGGAATATTATTTTACTTGTACTTTTACTTATGACGACCGCAGCACATTGTAGAGTGATGAGTAACATTCCACTTCTTTTTCTATCTGTACGTTTCCTATGATAGCCGCAGGCTACTGCAAGGTGCTGCGTAACACTATCTATAATATGCTGTTTCCAGTTAAGTTCTTCATATACCTATATATAGTTTATACATTCTAATATTGCTATTGAAAAACATAAATGCAGCAGCTTGTGATTCAAAAGACAGTGCAAAAGAAGAGTGCAAAAAAGGTGTTAAATCAATTTCAGATGATTTCCGAAATACGAGTACGTTTTGACTTTACCCGAAAGCTAGAGCATCGCTATTGAAAACTTCTTTACAAGGTGATTTATTTTAACGCCCTGAGCCAGTCCGAGAGAACATTTCTATTATCCATGAACAAAAACCAAGATATATTTAGAATTCACATATATATTCCTGACTGCTGACTTTTTTAACATTTGTTCCCCAGCGTTATGAATTGATTTTTTCCAGATTAATGATTTCATTGGTCCTTAACTAAATTTCTTGCAATTTGTTGATAATTTGGTAGAAAAGCTTATTTGAATTTTGAAAACTAAATAATCGACTATTTTTAAGGTTATAAACTTTTTCAACACCTAGTCAAGGCACAGTCATTTGTAAAACATGCTATTACGTCTGTTGGAGCCTACTCTGCCCTTTCAATTTCATGTTACCATAGATATAGGTAATTTTTAGTCAGTTAAGAAATGTAATGTCATATATTTAAAAATATACAGAAATTCAATTTACATTTTGATTCATTTTCACGTTAAAAGAAAAGTACAAAAAAAACAATACAGTCACAAACACATCCATTTGGTCCTTCCAAGCGCGGATTACAGTCCCATTTAATTACAAAGTATTCATAATTCAACTCCAAGAATTCAGGTTCACCATAAGTCAGTGAATCAGGAATTTTGGATCTTCTTCAGTCAGAAATCGCCAGAGCCCACGTTCAAGCAATCTTCAGCTGAACTACGTATGCAAGCAGCATTCATCACATTACAGCGTTCTACATAAAGCTATCAAATTTCTGACCATCCATTAAGTACAGGACACCATCAAGATTTGCAGCCGGTCTTTTGGTAAACTTCACAGTCCTCTTAGTCATTATACAAAGAATATTGATTTAATTTGTATTAGGTTTTCAAGGTCTCATACACAATTAATTGCATTTTCTTATTCTTCATTTTTATATTCTTTAATTGCATTCAGTATCTAGATACGTCCATTTTCAGGCTATTCTGAGATGGATCTAAAAAAGTTGCATGCTAATCGTGGTAGCATTAAAACTCGATTAACGATTTTTCAAAATTTTCTCTCAAAATGTCAATCGAATGTTCAAGAAACAGATTTTACAGAGTTTCGTCGTCGTTACAATCGAGTTGAAAATTTAATAAATGAATTTACAGAAATACAAAATCAAATTGATGCTTTGGTTGATACAGTTAACATTCA